CGTCGACCACAGAAAGACGACACGTTGTGTGCGGTTCAGCACAGCAAGCTGCCTCACACACACCAGGCAGACAGACGAGAGGGCAGACGGGCAGACAGACTTGCCCGTGAAGTAGTGCACACCTCTCTCTCTCCTGCCTGTCTGTCTGTGCTCACGGAATCTACAGGCAACCAATGCCGCGTCAATCTCCCTACCTGTGACCTTTGCGAAGGAAAGCCATCCAGCGAACTACACACACCAGTGAGTGGGTGCCTGCGCTACGGTACTGAAGAAACTGCCAGTACACTGACCATTCATCCATCCAGACACACAACACACGCACACACACATAAAGAATACCGACGCACCCCACCACGACGGCCAGCCACACGCCCGCTGCCCCCGAGCCAGTGCACATGGAGGAGAGCGGCGATAAAGGCCGCCCTCTCTCCCTCTCAGACAAAAGGAGGTCCCCCTGCTTGGTGACGGTGACGCATGGCCGTCCAGATGCGAGCGGCCTCGGCATCGGATGCATCGAGAGAGAGGTGTGAGTAGTGGGCGGCGGCGAGGAGGAACAGCGGGGCGCCCAGCGAGGCGTCCAGCCGCTCGAGCTCCCACGGGTACAGGTAGCCGAAGATGCACACGAGTGCATCGCGGGACAGACGATGCCATGGCTGACGGCACACACACAGGGGATGGGAATGCAGCCAGGTGTGTCGTCTCTGCCACCGACCTGTTTGTCGTGTTTTGTGGGCGGCTGTCCGCTCTCGTAAGTGAGTCGGTAGGACCAGCCCTCGTGAGCAGCGGGAACCACAGCAATCCTCACCTGCACACAGACCAAGCCGAGAAACGACTGCATCCGAGGAGCCTCGACGAGTGCTGTCATCATCCATTCAGCTGACCTCGTGTCTGACGGACCAGCGCCACACGCCATCCTCAGCCACATGCCGCCAGTACCAATACGACGGCATGATCTCCCTCACACCCGGATTGCTATGGCTGGTCTGACCGTTGATGGACAGACGCCGCTCTCACTCAGCGTGAGGAAGAGGCAATAAAGCTGCCACGGCTGCTGGATTCAACGCACAGCAGCTTGAGCCGGCAGGCAGCGACCGTCACAGCAGGCACCCGCAACCCACGGCACAGCCACACACAGAGAACACATGCAGTGCCGTCGCTATTGCCTTTTCTGTCCCTCTCCCAGTCTCACTTTGTGAGATGAGGTCAGATCAGCGCCGCCAGCCGGGAGATGACGACTCGCCTGCTGATCGATATCATCTCGGCGGCACTTGGTGCACCACACAGCCACTCCGCGCAGCCCTACAGCCGCCAAAAAAGAAGAAGAGATCGCCCGCCGCTCAACCTTTAAGCTCGCGGATGCGAGGAGGCGCTCTTTCCCATTGCACTTGGCTTTGTCTGATCAGTCTGCCATCTGTCCATCGATTCATGTTGACTAGTTCACTCCATCAAGCACGCTGAGCCGCACACATCGCACCACAGCCCCACCCCCTCGTCCATGGCTGTGAGGGATCCCATCTAAGATATCATTGTCTGTCTGTGGTGTCTACACCGGCCATCAGACAGACCCGTATGCATATCACCCGCCTCGCTCTAACAAACCGCCATCATTACGCGCACACGTCACTCGCACACAGCCACCCTGCCACAGACAGACAGACAGCCAACACGCACACACACACACACAGCGGACGCAGCAGTAGATAGAGACTACACCGCCCCCTCGATTCTGTCTGAGAGCGAGTAGTGTGGGAGGGTGGGTGCTTGCCACACACACCCACACACAGACGGCATGCACACGGAAACAGCCCAACTTGGCTTGGCTTGGCTATGCATCAATCAGAGGACTTGGCTATGTGTGGGTGTGGAGGGCGAGGTGAGGCCAAGACAGACAGACAAACAGATTGACTAACTGGGTGGTCGATGGGCTGGCTGTCACACGTGGTGATGCTCGCCTTGACATCCCACGCACAAAAAGAAGACGGGTCAAATACTAACACGCCAGCCATCCCCAAAGTCCCCCCCAACGCCCATACACACAGTCGACAAAATGGCAAAAGAAAAACCGACACGCTGAGTTCCCCTGACTGACAGCCCACCCGATGAGAAACAAAAGACGGAGAAACGGAGCGATAGACCGACGACGACAAAATGAACCCCACGACACCGACCATACGCAGCACCCAACCCTCCCTCCATCCGACCGATTTGTGTCCACGCCTGCCCGTCTCCTCAGCTCGCCAAGGGCGCGGCCAGAGGAAGGCAACAGCAGTGATGGGCTGACTGGTTTCGAGGCGGTGTGGCGAGGAAACGAACAAACACAACACGCAATGCATTGCATTGCCCCGGCCGGCCCGTCCACCGCTGCCCATCGATCCCCCGCTACTCCTGAGGAGCGGCGAGGTCAGAGCAGCAGGGGACTGACTGACTGACTGACTGGCGAGGGAATGCGCTGCGGTGACAAAAAGACAGACCGACAAACGACGACAGCCACCCAGCCACCCATCCACCTGTGTCACACACATACATTCTTCAAAAAGATGACGGATGACAGCTGACACTCCCAACCATTCCGTGAGTTCGCCCAACCGCCCATAAGCACAGTCGACCGACACACTGAGTGCCCCCGACGCCCAACACATTAAAAACAAAAGATTGAGAAAATATTGACCGACGACGACATAATGAAACCCACGACAGACACCACAGGCGGCACCCATCCGACCGACCAGCCAAAGTCTTTGTCCGTCCGTCTGTCTGTCTGTCTGTCGTGGCATACAACACCATGCGCACACCTACACCTGCCCCCCTGTGTGTCGTCCTGACGTGTGTGTGTGTTGTGATTAGAGAGAGGGATGAGTGGTGGATGGAAGAAAAGATACCGTACAGTCAGTCACTCGGGCGCCCGGGCAGACGACAAATGCGCGGAACCAGCCACACGACGCACTCACAAATTGGCGGGGCAGACAGGCCAAACAAGATACTCACAGATAATACACACACACAGATTACAGTCAGCACACGCAGGGCGGCCAAACGACGACAAATCACAGACGAAGAGCGGGACAAATCGAGCCAAATCGAAAAAGAGGCACGCGTGACAGTCCGATGCCTTTGGCTATGGGGTGAGTGTGGGCTGACGGAGACATCACAACGTTACGCTTCGCTGATGTCGGAAAAAAGACCATAACACCATTGGCAGGCAGGCCAGACACCCATAGCAGCCGTATCTCTCTGGTTCTGTTAAACCCAACCTTACAGCCAGGCCATCCCCATCGTCTCCTCCCGCCCCTATTGTCCCTATCAGTCTGTCTGTGGGTGTTTGTTATGTGTGAGTGTGTGTTGGGTCAGTTGTGTGTGTGTCCCTCCCGGCACCAGCCGCAGCACATGCCCTCCGGGAACAGGAAGGACCACACCTTGCTCCAGAATCCCATGTGCTGCTGGGCCGCTCCCTCTGTGCCGTCCTCTGTCGTCGGCTCGCTGCCCGTCTCGGTGTCCGCCTTCTGCAGACGCTGGTCCTCGCCAAACACGAACACACTCTCTGCACACACACACACACACACACACATATGCCGCATCGTCTCGCACTTCCATCTCGTGTGTGTCGACATAGAAGGCCACTCACCTTTCGAGACGGTGGGCAGGTTGGGCGTCTTGGTGCTCACGCAGTGCAGCGGCCGAGCCGACAGACGGCGGGAGGCACGCTTGGTGCGTCCCTCGGTGGCGGTGGCCGAGCCGACGGTGAAGACGCCCGGACCGTTGCGCGTCGCCGGGTGGTCCGATGGCTGGTCGTCGAAACGCAGAGGTGGCAACTCTGCACACACAAGAGAGGGAGGAGAGGGAACGGATCTGCAGGGTGCAGAAGGTGCTTCTGTTCGCCAGTGTCACTGACCGATGGTGTGTTGTGTGCCTTTGAGGGCCTTGGCGGGGCGGAAGGCATACCCCATCCCCAACTCGATGAGACTGTTGTCTTGTTCCATCATCACCCAGTTCTTCTCCTCAGACCCCTCCCCCTCCCCCTGGTCACGCCCGTCAGGAGCCCCGTACAGCGACATCTTCTCAAACATGCCACCGAACAGCTGTTGGAGCCAACACACAGACGCAGACACACACACACATACACACACACACGCGTCACGTCCATGTCGATGTCTGCCCACCTGGTGCTCCTTGGCCTTCTGCTGCTGGATGTGGTGGGCGAGGAGGGCCATCTCGGCGTCGGCCTCCCTGCCGTAGCTCTCGTGTGACGCCTTCAGCTTGCGCAGGTCGGCCACGGCGCCATCGAAGTCGCCAGACAGCCGACGGGCGCAGGCGCGACGCAACAACGCCTGCAGACACATTCACACACACACAAACACAGATGAGTCCATGAATGCACTCATCTCTCGTTGTGCTGTGGTCACCTTCGGGTGTGTGTCATCGTGGGCCAGCAGCAGGTCGGCGTAGGTGAGGGCCTCGTCCGGCAGGTCGGCCTTGAGGGCGGCGAGGGCCGAGTTGCTCCAGACGCTCATGGTGAGCTGCCGCACCTCGTCGGTGTGGGCCATCCACGACCCCATGTCAACGGACTTGACCGACTCGAGTGCCTCCATGGCCTTCTTGTAAGTCGCCAGAGCCGCTCGGGGGCTCTTCTTGGCCATCAGGTCGTTGTCCTCGGCCTTGTGCTCCTTCGCACTGAAGAACGGAAGGCACACAGACCGCTGGGATGCGACTCGTGCAGTGCCTCATCTGTCGTGGTGCCTCACCATTCCAGGTGGCGCCCGACCAAACTCCGATGCATCTAAACTCAGGATGCCAGCATACCATCTGACAACGCAAAGGCAGCCCATTGCAAACCCATGGAGTGAGGAAGCACACTCACAGTGACATTCATCCCCTCTCACCTTGTCGAGTGGCCATCTCCGCGTCTTTGGTGCCAGTGGCACCTCCCGAGTACTCTTCCCGGCCCGCCATGGCGGCGGAAGGCTCCCGCACTCGCTCGACGAAGAGGCGGGAGGATCGACGCGGACGGCTGCCGCAAACTTCAATGAACGTTATGTAAGAATAGGTGGGAGAGAGTCGGGGAGAATGGTGAAGAGAGGATCTGCCGGGCGGTCAGTCCCGGATAAAGGATTAAGTCAATGCAACGTAAGGTCTGTGGATTTTGTGG